TATTTTAAAAAATCAATAAATACACAAGAATACGAAAAATAACTGAATTTTTAAAGATTTTTTTCATAAATATTATACTTTTTAAGTGTATTTATGTTAGGTTATCTAGAAAATTTAAAAAAAAATATATTAAAAAAATTTAGTAAAAAAAAAAATACGAAAAACAAAAAAATTTAATTTTCTAAACAGTGAATCCTGAGTTGCGAAACCAAACAAGCTAATTAGCATCCAACCAATTTTATTATATTTGTAACTCCAAACACATTAATATAGTGGGTGTTTGGGAAGTGGTTATTTTTTAAGCTTTTTGGCTTTTTGACTATTTTCGTAGGCTATTTTAGTTTTTGTATTTGGGAAGATGTATTGAATTTTTTGTTTGATTGTTGTATTGAAAAATCTATTTGAAATGATCTTGAGATAAAAAACAATTAAATTATTCCCCAAAAGTCGTGCATGACGTGATGAAGTTGTGCCTGACTTGAACTATGATTATGTTGGGATATGAAATGACTAAAGTGCCCCCGTGGGTTGGATTGCTAAGTTGGTGGGTTAGTCAAAAAGTAAAAGGGCAAAATCGTAATTTCAAATATGCCCTGCACAGTTATACACTTCTGCCAAATCTGTCCACGTCAGTTTCTGGTTAAAAAAAAAAAAACTCGGCTGTAGTATAACTTTTTGACTATTTGTTTAAAATGAGGCTAAAATAGCCTTTTAGCCTCCTTCCCAAACACCACCTAATTTATTTTATTTTTAATTTTGATAGATTGATATATTTTAATGTGAAAAGAATGCCTTGAATCAAGAGTTTTTATTTTTTATTTTTATAAATATTCTAAAAAAGTTTATTTAAAGAATTGACTCACTTTTTAAATTATTTGAGAAATTAACCTATTTTTTGAAATCGCATTTTCAAAATGCAATTTTAAAATTAAAATTACATTTTCAACATGCAATTTCACCTTAAAATCGCAGGTGAATATACAATTTATGATGACATGGTGAAATTGCATGTTGAAAATGTAATTTTAATTTCAAAATCATATTTTTAAAATGCGATTTCAAAAACAGGTTAGTTTGTCAAATAATTTAAAAAATAGGTTAATTCTCTAAATAGTTTTTTTTTAAATATTAAAAAAAAATTCCTTGAATCAAGGATCAATCTATTTGACAAATAGATGTGTTTGAGAGCTTAGAAAAATTCTAAAACATCATTTTTTGAAAATTATCTCGCAAAATATATATATATAAATAACGGGTACTTCTGAATTCTATATTATTTTTTTCATGCAAAATAAAAATAAAAATAATCAAAAAGGATAACTTTATGAAAAGAATAAGAGCAATGTTAGAGACTCAGGCCTCGTTTGGGTACAGGCTAATTTAGTAATTTTTTGGTTATTTGGCTAAAAAGGTAGGTAAAAAAAATTTGTATGTTTGTGATGACTTTTTTGGCTAATTACGAAAAGATGTGCAAAAAGTAGAGAGAAAAGAGAATCTTTGATTTTTTGGTATAAGTTGTTGACTTTTTGACTAATTTAGTAACTTTTTGACTAATTGGCTAAAAAAGTAAGTCCCCAAACGGGGCCTCACACTATTAGATTTACAAATTCACTCACAATGATGTGCTAAGGAAAGTGAACTCTATATCATTAAATATATAACAACACATGTCGTCCTCGTTTGGCATGATATTTTTTTGGGCAAAAAGATTAAAATAACCACAAAAGACAGAATATGTTAAAATGTTAATAAGATAAAATATCACATTTAAATTATAATCTTTTTATTTTTTTTCTCATAAAAGTTAAAAAAACTCATCTCGAATAAAGACTTTTTAATCCCAAATTAAAATAACTAAAAAAATTAAAAGATTATAAAATTAATTCACATTCCAAACAAAATCATCATATCATATTATTATGAGTATAATTATAGAAATTTTTGTAAGAGTCAACATTTTTTGAAATGCTTGGCTCTCAGATTTTACGCTTTGGAACAAAATCAACCAGCCTAATGACTTCAATTTTGTACAATTTGTACTGTGGATGGTCCAACAGTTTGAAAGTCCATCTTGTCTAACGCCAAATTAAAGTTATTAAGACTGAGAATCAGACTTTAATAAAGATTGTATTCATCAGTACAATCATCCTTACCTTCAACAACGTCCAACAACTATAATTATTTTGTTTAATCACATTTATTTTAAAACAAATTGACTCTTTATTTTTAAAATTATATTTGAAATTATTTTTATTAATAATAAATGTGCTGAAATTATGTAATTATAATTATCAGATAAATTTAATTTTGATTTTAATTTTTTTTTGAATGATTTAAACATTGAAAAGATTGGCTAATCTAATCATCAAAGTGAATCTCGTGATAGACTGACAAATCCGAACTCGACAAATAACCGGATCCCTAAGACTATATTTTTTAAATTTCTATTTAAATTTAGGATAAATTATAAATGCATTCCTGAGATTCGATTAAAATACGAATCGCCTCTATAGTTCTAGAAATTACATTCTACCCTTTAAGGTTTCTAATTTCATAACAAATCGCTCATTTTATTAATAAATCATTAAATCAATTTATAGTTTTTAATAGTGTTAGAAATATATTTTAATTAATAACTTAGGTAATTATATTATTGTATAGGGGAGTAATTATAAATTTCATTTTTTTTAATTAATTCTGTTAAATAAAAAAATCTGACAATAGAATATTTATAATTTTCTAAATCACAAGAGACAATTTATATTTTAAACAAATCTTAAAAGATATATTTATAATTTAACCTTAACTTTATGATCCAAACATATTTCATATTTGAACAAATAGGGACAGCTTTTAATTACATACAACATTGTCGACGTGGAATGGAGGGTTTTCATGGAAAAATATTTCAATGTCATTCAGTGTGCTTAATTTTAATTTTTTAGATTTGACTTTTAAAAATTAAATTTTTTATTTTAATTTTTTCTTTTGTTTCTAGTGAATATTTTTAAAATTTTAAGTAATTTTTATTTTTTTAGATACACCTTGCTTAGATGTATTTAAAAAATAAAATATTTATAAAAAATATTTTAAAAATCAATAAATACACAAGAATACAGTAATAAAAAAATGTATTGAATTTTCATATTTTTTTTATATTTTTGATATTTAGTGAATTTTCTAAAGATTTATTCACAAATATTATATTTTTTAACTGTATTTATTTTAGGTATGTTTAACAATTAAAAAAATTACTTAATATATTAAAAAATTCAGTAAAAACAAAAAAAAAATGCAAAAAATAAAAAATTTCAATTTTTTAAATAGTGAAACCTAAAAATAGGAATAAAACAAGCTAATTGGTATCTTGTCCAATAATTTCTCAGTACATTACCATTTGATGTATATGTAGCACCTAGAAAGTAGAGAGATTAACCTTCCACATATAGATTTATTTATTTTTATTTATTATTTTTTATTTTTTTACATGTCATCAGAAGCACTATTTCGTCTTCGTGCTTGGTCCGGCAAGCAAACTGGATGTTATCCTCTGCGGTGTAGTTGCATGCAGACAAGACAACCCAGATCACAACTGTTGGATTTATAAGTCAAACAGAAGAGAGATGGTCAACCCTGCATATGCAGCATGGTTGACCCAATGCCGTGCATGGCAATTCATAATAAAAACACATTGCTTGTGATGTCTAACTATATCACAAGAATTTGTTATGCTGTTCAAAGGGGAAAGGCCCCCACACTCACACCCAACTCGATGACTTTCCAATTCTTGATTAATGAATGAATGAATGGAGGATTCAATCTGATTGACTTAACCATACCTATCTCTTTGATGAGTGTAGAAAAATGTGACTACTGGGAATACAAAAATAAATTGATTTTTTCTTACTATCTCGCTGATTTTACATAACTATGACTCTTTCTTATTTTTTTGTTTTAAAGAGATAGAGGTGAAAATAAAGTAGAAAGGCGATAAAAGATGTTCTACAAAAAAAAGAAAACAAAGTAGAAAGAATAAAAGAAAACAAAGAATAAAGAATTAAAATAAATAAATAAAGATTAAAGATTTAATGAATTTTCAGAAACAAAAACTACATCCAATGATGTGTGTATCATACCATTGCATCGCATGGAATCTCAAGAAGTACATCAACAATTATTTGATATTTCTTAAATACTGTCTCAACAATTTAAAAAATCATACAATCATGTGAATTTCGTGCTGCAAAATTTTACTTTTTTCTAAAACGCGATCAAATTGGTATTGACTTTAGCCTCTTCTTACCCAATTCTCAAATTACACTACTTGTAATTTACTATAAAAGTCACCAAAAAAATTATAAATTAATATAAAGACCCGTTTTTGAATTTGATTTCTTAACTTTACAAATATATATATATATATATATATATATTAAAAAAATTAATAAAATGATGTGATAATTTAAAATAATTTTTTAATTATTTTCTCACATTTGCAAACAAAGTGTGAAAGTCACCCAAATCGTACAAACAAATAATCATTCAGCTGATGTAACCATGTCCCACAAAAGAATAGTTTTTTTAAGGGAGTAGATTGTTTATAGTCTGAGATTAGATTGGATGGTACTGTTTGGCTTATAAAAGCTTACAATAAATTTTGTTTTGATAATCTTTTGATAATTTGAATAATTCAATATGTAGAATTCGTTGAGTATTATTTGTTTGTAAAAAATTATATTGATCAGATATCAATAGTTATGTGATCAAATCAGTTTTGTATAAAAAATAGATAGTAAATAAATTAACAGTTAACAAAAAACTAAACCGATGAGATAATTATCAATATCCGATTAACATAATTTTTTACACAAATATAAAATTCAAAAATTTTTGTACATTAAATCATTTAAATTATTAAAACGAGGCGTGTAATGAGTCCTCATGAGCTGAACAGCGCCTAAAGTCGGAAGCTGCTTCCTTTTTTTAAATAACTAATTTTGTTCTTAACCCACAAAGAAGTTTGAAAACAAGGACAACAGAGGTGTAAAAAGAGGAAACTCTCTCCCTAGTCTTTTTAGATTCCCATGGGCTCTTTCATTTCTTTATTTTCTTTAGCTTTTCAATTCTATCCAATCAATATCAAAACCCCAAATTACAGGGATTCCCAAGATCTTTTATTTATTTTTAATTTGTTCTCTCACTTGAATTCAACACCGCAAAGAAAATCAATTCATCATTATAGCTTCTGATGATCATCAATCAATCCTCCAATCACCATAACTGGATCTCTCTTAAGCAAAGATGATCAAAACAATCTTGTTTTTCGCTTTTATTGCTCCGGCGATCGTCGCTCACTCTCCGGCCAATTGCAGCCGATCATGCGGTGGTGCTCCGCCGTACTTCCCATTTCCGTTCGGGTTCTCCGCCGGCTGCCCAATCCAATTACAATGCACCGCCAACGGCACCGCCGTGATCGACGGTTTTCCGGTCCAAACCGTCACATCCGACACCATCCTGATCAACCTTCCGGCCCAATGCAACCGTCCGATTCAATTCCTCGGCGGCCTCTTCACCCAAAACTACGCACCCACTTCGAAAAACGGAATTCTGCTGCAGAACTGTACATCACCCATCACGGCCTGTGTGATTCCGACCACGATGGTTCAAACCCACTTTGAATTGCTCGATTGTGGATCGAGGAAGAAGAACAATATTAGTTGTTATTCGGAGCAGAACAAAGAGAATGAGTTTATTAATTATTCGAATGTAAAGAGTCAAGGGTGTGAGTCTCTGTTCTCGGCGATCTCGGTTTCGTCGATGGGGAATAGTTCGGCGGTGTCGTTGGATGTTCAGGTGGTTCAGCTTGGGTGGTGGCTCGATGGGGACTGTATGTGTTCGGGCAATGCGAATTGTACGAATGTTTCGTCGCCGACTGATGGAGGGCGAGGATATCGGTGCCAGTGCTTGGATGGGTTCGTCGGAGATGGGTATCGAGATGGTTTGGGCTGCCGGAAAGGTTAGTTGCTAGAATTAGCTGGTAATACCCAACTCACAAAAATTAAGAAAAATATTATATTCCCTCGTGAATTAATTATTTTAGTTGATTTTTTAATTTTTTTTATAAAAGAATATATAACAATGAATAAAAAGGATAATTTGATAGTGCGGTCTTGTTTGCTATTTTAAGATCCGTTTGGGAAGAAGATTTGTGGCTAAAATAGTCACAAAAGATAAAATAGATTATTATAGTTACAACAAATAAAATATCACATTCAACCCATAATCATTACACTATTTTCTCATAAAAAAAGTAAAAAAAATCAAAAAGTCAAAAAATCATTCTCAAATCAATCATTTTAGTTTAGGTTAAAATAACCAAAAAAATAAAAAAAACCAATCCACTTCAAAAATTAAGCCTTAAATACCCCTTAAAAAAAAAACCCTTAACCCCCCCCCCCCCCAAAAAAAAAAAAAAAATTCACCTCAAACCTTGAATCACTGAATTTATCCAAGTCATACATCATCTTATTCGCATCTGTAAGTACCATCAAATTTGATGATGCATAATTTTAGTGGAGAAGTTGGTGATTTCGATAATCACAGCAATATTGATTCAAAAAATAATAATAGGTGAAATCTTTTTTTCCCAATTTGGTTAACACTTAATTCTTACGCATATGTATTTTTTTTTTAAGAAAAATATTTTAAAAATTATGGTCGGCCTTGTATTTGAGCAATTTCTACCATCATATTTTTTGTGGGCTTTCCGTTTATCTCTACCAATGATTTTTTTTTATGTTTAATGTATTGAATATTTTGTTTTTGATCAAGACACAATATGAGATAGGGGAGGAAAAAAAAAAGGCAAATAACAATTCCTCTGTTTTATTATAGGCTTCCATTACTTTGTAATATTGAGATAAAAATTTGTAATATTAAAATATTGTGAATTAATGACCATATGAAAATATATATATATATATATATATAAATCAATCATTGAAAAGTTCATCTTGTGAGTTATTTTATTTTATTTTAGGTGAATTACACCAACGGTCCATATAGTTTAGGGTTTGTGTCACTTTAGTCTTTAACTTTTCAATTGTAACATATTTAACCTTGAATTTTAAATTTTGTTCCAAATAAGGACAATTGAAGATACCATTAGATTTTTCAAGAGCAAAACCGTCAATTTGATAAAATATAAATTAATTTGACAAAAATAAATGTCAAACAATATTTTTAAAGTTTTAAAAATTATTTCTACCTACTGAAGATAAAATTATATAAAATTGATAAATCTTTTAGATATTTTTTTTTACCAAATTAATTTTTATTATGTGTTTGGATGATGATCATTTAAAATCAATTTTTTCAAATTAATCATGTAATTTTTATCAATTTTATATAATTTTATTTTTGGTGGGTAGAAATAGCTTTTAAAAATTTAAAAATATTTTTTTGATATTTATTTTTGTCAAATTAGTTTATATTTTATCAAATTGACAATTTTGTCCTTGAAATTAAGCAATGATATATTCAATTATCCTTATTTGGAACAAGATTCAAAATTTAAGGTCAAATGTGTCACAATTAAAAGATCAGGGACCAAAATGACACGAGCCTCAAACTATAGGGACTGTTAGTGTAATTTGACCTTTTATTTTTTATTATAGCCTTTTTAGCCAAAAATAATGACCACAAAATCGAATCAATCAATGGATATTTTTAGAACTCTTTTTCTTTTTCTTTTTTCTTTTTTCTTTTTTCTTTTTTCTTTTTTTTTTTTTTTCTGTACAAGCAGTTGGTGTGTGAGGGAATCAAGTCAAAATCAATCCCATTAGCCTAACCCTCCAAATTTCTTTCATCATATTTGTTTGTTTGATCATGGTGTGCGGTGGTGGGGATTGTTTTTTTCCGATAATTGTGCCTGTTTTCAACCCTGAATTAAATATGACTATTTTACCTAATTGACAAAGCCAATGAGGGTCCCTCTCATCTATTCTTCTTCTTCTTGTTGGGATAAATACAATGTCCTTTTGTGCCTTCAATAGTTTTTGTTTTCGTTTTGGTTCTAAATAAGTCTAGTATTCAAACTTATTTTGAAAATTTAATGAGTTTAATGTATGTAAACTTAAAAGTTGTTTATTATTTGAGTCGATCTTAAACGAGATTTAATCAAGTTTATCAAACCCAGTGATAACTTGTTTAAACTTGTCTTGAAAACTTAAGAAGCTTTAAAATGTATTTAAGTTTCGTTTGTTTAAATAGCAAGTCGATTTCGAACAAATTTTTCACAAATTGAGCTCGAATAACTTCATTTGTTTTACAGCCCTAATATCAAAGAAGACACACAATCTTTCCCTTCCTAAACACACATTAATGTGTACTAATTGGGAGCTATTTTTTTTAATCCCATAATATTAACTCAGCATGGTGCTCTAGAACTAATAAGAGCAGTTAGTTAGCAACTTGAGGACCAAAATTTATACCAAGCAAGCATGAAGATCTTTGTGTTGTGGATAGAGATGTTGGGTGATACTGTTTATTTAAGGTACTGTTTTTACTTCTAATTAATATTTATAGTTTTCTGTGTGTTTTTGGTTGTATGAGCAGACTCTTCAGCGTGCAACCCTGCAAAGTACATGTCAGGTGAATGTGGTAGTACAACTCGAGTCGGTGTTTTAGTTGGAGGTAATTCCAGTTTGTCTTACTGGTTGCCAAAAACACGACATTTAATTTACTGCTTTTCAACGTCAGAGGCATTCTTATTTGGTTAAAAAAATGCTAAAAAATCAATATATCCACATTTTTTTGTGCACATGTGAATCTTATGAGAGTTATATGACTTGGGTTTACACTACCATATAGCAAAAAATTTCAATTTTTACTCCAATATTAATGCACCGAGCATCTTTATGCTAAAAAGCGACTAGGACTAGGATTAAGCATCTAGCCTAAGCGGCAAATTTTCAAAATCTGTTTCTGAATTTACAAGTCTATTTTCTCAGGAATCGCTGCAGGAGCTTCTTTAATGGTTAGTGTGGGTCTAGCATGTTGTTTTATTCGAAAGCGTTCCAAATTAAATCACAAGAAGAGAGCAGAACGCCGATTATATGAATCTTCAGGAATTTGCATTCCCATTTATCCCTATAAGGAAATCGAGAGAGCCACCAATTTCTTCTCTGACAAACAACAACTAGGAACTGGTGCTTATGGGACAGTTTACGCAGGAAAACTCAACAATGACGAATGGGTAGCCATTAAAAGGATCAAACAAAGAGACACAGACAGCATTGAGCAAGTGATGAATGAGATTAAACTCCTCTCCTCTGTAAGCCACCCGAATCTCGTACGCCTCTTAGGTTGCTGTGTAGAAAAAAGTGAACAAATCCTCGTGTATGAGTTCATGCCAAATGGAACCTTATCTCATCACTTGCATGAAGATCGAAGCAATGGACTTTCTTGGCCGGTTCGCCTCACCATTGCCATGGAGACTGCTCAAGCCATAGCTTTCCTACATTCATCAATGAACCCCCCAATATATCATCGAGACATCAAGTCGAGCAACATACTTTTGGACCACAATTTCAAATCCAAAGTCGCAGATTTTGGGCTTTCTAGGCTTGGTATGACTGAATCATCTCACATTTCCACCGCCCCTCAGGGGACACCAGGTTATCTTGATCCTCAGTACCATCAGAACTATCATCTTTCTGATAAAAGCGATGTCTATAGCTTTGGAGTTGTTCTTGTGGAGATCATAACAGCATTAAAGGCAGTGGACTTTAATCGGTCCCAGAATGAAGTGAATTTGGCTTCTCTTGCAGTGGACAGGATCGCGAAAGGAAAGTTGGATGAGATAATTGACCCATTACTTGAAGCACAGACAGATGCGTGGACACTTTCATCGGTGCACAAGGTGGCTGAGCTGGCATTTAGATGCCTTGCATATGACAGAGACACGAGGCCTTCAATGATTGAAGTAGCGATTGAATTAGAGCAAACTGGGCTCAGTAGATGGGCATCTTCAGAAGGAAATGTAATAGTTTCGTCAAATGCATCATCTTACTCTTCATCATCTAACATTAGCGAAAAACCACTAGGCGTAACTCTTAAGAAGCCCGAATTGGATGATAGAGGTCTGTTTGCGAGGCAGTTTAGGGCTAATAGTGTCAAGTCAATAGACGGAATGAAGGATTTTAGCCCTGTTTCTGTGCAGGACCATTGGTTAAGTGAAGAAAGCTCGCCTTCATCAAGCAGTTTGCTCAGTAATGTTGCTCAGTGATCTAATACTGCTCTTTTGAATCATTTGAATTGCATTTCAAAGGTAATTGTTTTGCTTTGCAGGGAAAAACGTGAAATGACTTTTTTGGCCTCATAGAGCAAGATAAGTGAACCACAACTTCTCTTGTTAAGTATGAATGATCTTTTGCACTGTAATTGTCATGTATATGTCCTTATACTATGCTTGTACCTGTACACAAGTTTGCTATTAGAAAATTAAGATTTCATTATTCATATTGTTTAGTTTGAAGAAGTCAAGTCAACAAATTGTGCCAACTATCAATATACATACCTAGAGAAATTTTTAAGAATGTAGAGAATGAATTCACTTTTTAATAACCCATCAAACTAGATTGAGGATGACAAGCTAAAAGTTTTAGGTAGGGAGGTAATCGGTTTAGGACAATCGGTGCTTAGGTGAAATTTTTCTTTGAATCGATAATGTCAGTTTTAATATATTAAGAACCGATTCAGACCAAATTTTTCCCCAAATCGCATTGATTCAAACGGTTCAATTCAGTTTTGTTTAATCAATTTAAGTACTTTTTAAATTGAGTTATTTCTTAAAATAGTAAATAATTTATATAAAAATATTAAATTAGCCATTTGCACATAAATTCAATCATATCCAATCCAACCATTTACAAAAATACAAACAAACAAAATTAATAAATACTAAGGTTTGAAATTTTTACTGAATTAGAATTAGAAAAAAATTATGATCTGAAATCTAATGTCTAGACATCAAAACAAAACTAAAACTTAAAACCATCATCCCGTAAATCTAAACTGCAAATCTATCAAGTAGAGCCAAAATAAAAAAAATAAAAAAAATTGAACATAACATAGCTAGCTTGGCATTGTTATTCATTATATGTTTAATATATATATTATATGTAAAAAAATTTATCAGTTTCAGTAAAAATTGTTATAGAAGATGTCTAAATTGGTACCGAACCAAAAATAAAAAAAAATAATTTTCAAAACTACACAAACCGATTCGTATTAAAAAACGAATCAAATATGATTGATTTAATCCAACTTAATTAGACTGGTCGATTTTTTCAATTTTTCTTACATTCTTAATTCCAAAAGATGAGCCCTTTGTGTCTCAAAAGTTCCTCAAGAGTTTAAGATTAGTACATTGTTGTATCACTTACTAATAATAATATATGTAGGGTTAGTATAAGGCAATTAAATTTTGTATTAAATTTTTTAAAAATAAATTTAAATACCATATATTGAAGAGTAAGATAGTGATTTTATTATAAAAATGTCAATTTAAAAAAAAAGAAAAGAAGAGGTTAGGATCAAGACACTTGCCATATCACAAAAACCTATAAGTAGTGGTGAAGGTGCAATTTTATTTATTTATACTTAACAGCACAAGTCTCGCATTAAATGATAGGTAAGCATAAGGGACTTCGCTATAAACATTAACGGGATAGGTTATCAAGCACCACTGTCACCTATTGCGAGTCCATAAGGTTGTCCGTGACTTCGTCTCGTTTGATAGAGCTGTGAGAAAGTGATTATAAATTACAGTTTAACAGATTATAGCTTATAGCTGTGAGTATAAGCTGGTAGCCTATTTAGTGTAACTATGTGATTATAGATTTAAGCAGCAGAGTAGTATTTGGTAAATAAGCTGTAAAATAGTGTAATTGTCATTTTTGCCCTTATGAACATAAAAATTGTAATTTTGTCATTTTCTTCACTTTAAATTTTGAAAAAGTTATTTCATTAATGGAAGTTGATTAATTAGTACCTAATTTGATACATTTTTACATTACCTCAAATTTATTTTGTTATTTTTATTTTTTTAAAAATATTGAGTTCACAAGAAACAAAAAAATGTCATTGCAACAAAAATACAATAAATTACTCTAAAAATAAAACTTTCTAGACATTTAAAGAACTCCTAATTTCATCTGCAAATTGACATACAAATATTATGTCTCATCACTTCCATCTTGTTGTCATCACATGCAACATCATTTCTATGGCATACTTGTTGAAACGGAGATCATTCCTCTTCATTGGGCACATAATCCGTGAAACTAACATAAGGGTCAAATGCAATATCGCGAAACTCACTTCGTCGGATGAAAGTATGAATTGCCATTGTTACACAAACAAGTTTGACTTGGGTCGGCCACTTGTAGTTTGATGGGATATCCTTTATCATCGGTCATCTTGCTTTTTAAATCCCAAACGTTCTTTCTATTACACTTCTAAGTGATGAATGTGCCTAGTTGAATTTTTCTTGTGCATTTTGAAGGGGTTAACCATGTTCAAATTCAGTTAGATGGTATGTCTCTCCTTTGTAAGGTACAATATATCCTTTCATGTTTGGATACTCGACATCCACCAAGTAAAACTCATCTATTTTAAAATTTCAAAATGAAATTAAAGTAAGAAATTATAAATGTAAAAATAAATATGGAGATGTGAGTGTGGTGCATCTATTGTAGCAATCAAATATAAAATAGTTACCTCCTTGTGGTTTTGGAAAATTATAACTAAAATTCCTAATTGTATCCAAGAAGATCCGAGTATCGTGTACACTTCTTTTCCATAATGGTAAGCAAAATGTGAAACACATATCAAAGTCACATGCAACCATTATGTTTTGAGTTTCATACCCCTTTCTACCTATTAAATGAGGTTGCTTATCTGGAGATATATATGTTTTGATATATGTTCCATCAATTACTCTAATACAATCCTATTACAAAATAGTTAATAAAAATATTTTTAGTCACAGATTATTAGAAATATCCTACCAACATTATTATATGTAACGCCCAAGTTCCACTTGTAATTATTTTTTTACCTTGAAATGAGGATAATATTTGAGTTTGCTTCGAATATATGGATGCACACCATTTCTCGGTTGAGGCCTTATCCAATCAATAGATATCATTGCAACAACTTTTAACATCTTCTTGAAGTATTTTGAAATAGTCTCATCGGAATGTTGAAATCTTTTTTGGACATTTCTGTTTCGAATGTCACCGCCAATAATATACAAAAATATTACAACTTGCTCTTGAACCGAGACTTTTCGTCTAGTTTCAAGGCCATACTTTGCCTGTAACAAATCACACAATTGATAAAATACCTCTCTTTCCATTCGAAAATTTTCAAATATTCTTGTCCAATTCCTTTCTTGTAATTCTACCATCCAATTCCCCCTGTTAAACTAGATGTCCTATATTGTTCTTATATCAAATAATTTGCCGCACATGTCATTGCAACTGTTGATGCCGTAGCTAAGAGCATGTTATTAGGTTGTTGGGTTCGCGATGTGCTGCCTTCATCTTTAGTATCTTCGTCATGGTGATTATTATTTCATTCATCGTCATCACTGTTATTCATCTCCAAAATACCTACTCATTTAAAGGCTTAGTTACTATTACAAGAATGACCTTGCTTTTCTTCTAATTAGATTTTAGTCCAAATCAAGCATTATAAATCATCATGACTTCAAGCAAAATTAATCTTATAGTTTAACTCAAATTTCATTTTCAATTTTAATAATTTAGTCCATACAATTGTAGTCTAATTTTAATTAGGTTATTTTGTTCAAATTAAACATTAAACTTAATGCAGTAATGAATCAGAAATGCTTTTGGCTCAAAATGTATAATGCACTAATAAATCCACATATTCACCTCTAGCCAAAAATTATAGGGCCAGTTTCATATCGTATCATTTCTATGAGAAAATATTTTTTTTTTAAAATTAAAAAAAAAAATTGAAAATCTCACCTCACTTTTCTTTTTTCTTTTTTCTTTTTTTCTTTTTTTCTTTTTTTTTTTTTTTTTTTTTTTTTTTTTTTTTTTTTTTGGGTTCTTTGTATATCATCATTATGAGACTTCCTAAAATTTGACTTGTTAGGTACATAGAAAATTATAATCACACTAAATAGTTGAGTAGAACCAACAACAACAACATTTTTGATTCATGCAAATTTAATCATACTAAATTTAATCAACAAGAAAAAATTTATAATCATACTAAATAGTTGACTTGTCAACATTTTTGTAACATATATAAATTAGAACCAACAACAACACGCAAATTTAACTTCCTAAAATTAGACCTTCAAAGAACACAGCAATACAACAGCAACATATTGAAATTCAAACCAGAAACAAATCCAAATTCAGCACAACAACAACAACAGATGGAAATTCAGCATAAAAAATAAATACAGCACAACAAGCAGAAGGCAATTCAACCTTTCTCACAACCAGCCAGAGAATTTCTACATATATATAAAAGTCTTCACCATTCACCTACCATTCATATTCAAGATTGAAATCAACCGTTCAACCATTCAACTAATATTCAACCAGTCAACTATTCACCTACCATTCAACTGAGAAAATGTTACCTACCCACCAACCATTCAACCATTCAACTAACAAAGTCCAACAAAATATTAATAAAAGTCCATATAATGAGTTCAACATAAAAGTCCAACATAGTGAATATTAATAAAAGAAAAAATATAATGAGTCTAACACAACAGTCCACAATTAATAATAAAATTCTTAATAAAGGTCTTAAACATGAAATAATTAGGAAATTCAGAAACACCCAACTTCAGAAACAATTAGCCGCGATAACCTGTGGTGGTCTTCTCCATCTCAATCTCCAACTTTAGAAACCTCAGCCGAACTTCATCTGTAGGAAGAGTCATGAAGAACTCACGACGCTTGTCTCGTAAGAACAATCTGGCAGCCCATACATACAGCTCATCATCCGAGGACACACCGCGGATGCTTTCCAACTTCGCCAAACATTCTGTAATTAAAGGATATCTTGATGAGGTCTGTGTTGAAGATGACTCAACCACATTGGCTATACGATCAAGTGTCTTGTTAAGTAGGGCTGCACCAATAAATTTCTTCTTTGTCTTGCTTTTGGTTGATGAACCATCAGTGTTTGATATCATGTAGGGTATGAAATTCCTCTAGAGTCTCATCAGTGTGAGGTATAAACCCTAAGCTAAGAGTGTATGCCCATTCTCCTATAACAGCTGCATCTAAGAATAGTATGCCTAAGTCTTCAGTGAATTGCAATGGCAGATGCTGGAATTTAGTAGCATCAGGATACCTCT